ATATAATAATAATACTATTAATAGTCAATGATATTTGTGATATACTTTTAAATGTTGAGTTCCAACTCCTTTATTGTGTTAATAACTGATTATTGGTGTATGGTGTTGACTGAATTTCATGCTTAATGAATAAAAGTATAATAATAATAATAATAATAATAATAATAATACCAACAACATCCAGATTTGCCTATCCCAGGTTCTTGGTAAGGACTCAATAGGCAGACAAAAATGCCAAACCGAGTGTGAACATCTGGCTGACTGTGCCATGAATAATAACAGCAGCAGCAGCAGCACTGATTGTTTTGATTTAAATGGAGAAACCCAAAGAGGTTCTGGAAACTGTAACTGAACAAATTGCAAAATCTAACATACAGTAGTACATGACCATTCCAAGTATGAAATTGTTAGGATGTATATATACAGTCACACTTAAAAGGACGGCACAAGCAAAAGGAGAGCGTCTCAAAAAATGAACGCCAAGGTGCAAATTAGGGCGACTTGTTCCCCAGAGTCATTTCACACAATTAACATTCCTCCTTTTTGGTTTACCGGAAGGGTTAGACCGTTTGGAAGAGCTGAAAGATCTGTTTTATCTCTGGGTTGGTTCCTTCACACACACACACACACACACCTGGTTTCTGTTTCAAAAACCGAGCTGTGGTTTTTTTCTTCTCCTAAGAGATGCTTCTGGAGAGGCCAGGAAAATTACGGCGGGCATTTTCTGTGCATGGTGGCTCCACTGGCGTGCCGAGGGATCCCTCCATCCTCTGGGCAAACGAGCCGGAGGAAGGATGCTCAGCCGTCCCGAACCAGCATCCCAAAGACTCAATGTGCATGTGTGAATGAATCCTTCTGGATCAGGCACGCAGGGGGAGGGGAGAGACACATTTGTGGAGGGGCTGATTTGACGCTGCTGCGGTGATGAGGAGGGCGCCTTGGGAAGATGCCGCTGGTGTGATCTCGGGCTGGAAAGCCTGTGCAGAACAGAAAAAAAAACCCACAAGTATTAGTTGGAAGGGACCTAGTGGGTCATCTAGTCCAACCCGCCCCCTGCCCAAGCGGGAGACCCTACGCCATTTCTGACAGAGGGCAATCCAGTCTCTTCTTGAAAGCCTCCAGTGATGAGGCTCCCACAACTTCTGAAGGCAGCTTCTATTCAAATGGGTTCTCACTGTCAGAAAATTCCTCCTTATTTCCAGGTTAAATTTCTCCTTGTTCAGTTTCAATCCATTGTTCCTTGTCTGGAATACAGGAGCTTTCGAAAACAGCTTGACCCCTTCCTCCTCTCTGGGGCAGCCCCTCAAATATTGGAAGACCACTATCACGTCTCTCACTAAACTAGCCAGGCCCAGTTCCTGCAACCGTTCGTTGCATGTTTTAGCCTCCAGTCCCCTCATCATCCTGGTTGCTCTTGTCTGCACTTTTTCTAGAGCCTCAACCTCTTTTTTTATAATGTGGTGAACAAAACTGGATGCAGGACTCTAGGTGTGGCCCAGTGGTGGGATTCAAGAAATTGTAGTACTGGTTCTGTGGGCATGACTTGGTGGGCGTGGCTTGGTGCACATGGCAGGGGAAAGGATACTGCAATATCCCCCTTCCCTCCCCACCCCCCTAACCTGCTTTCCAGCTCTGTTTTCCTGTGCAGGGCAACCCAAGGAGACCCAGCCGATCAGCTGGGACTCGATGGGAGGCAGAGAAGAGGCGGGGTTGGCGGGGCCAGTCAGAGGTGGTTCTTTTGCCGGTTCTCCAAACGACTCAAAATTTCCGCTACCGGTTCTCCAGAACCGGTCAGAACCGGCTGAAGGCCACCTCTGGTGTGCCATTACTAAAGCTTTATAGAGTGGCAATTAGTATCTCACTTGATCTTGATTGAATCCCTCTGTAAATGCAGGTTAGGACTGCACTGGCTGTTTTGGCGGTGGCTGCGCACTGTTTAAGCCAGATTGCTGGAACCGATTCCTCACCCTGAGTGACAGCCAGGC